GTTTCGTTGAAGAGGCCAAGGAACTTGTTTGGAAGGGCTCCTTGGAGGCCTCTTGTTGGTGCAATCACGAAAGCCATCCCTTGTCCACTTATATCCTGATATTTAGACTCTATGGCAAAGACGAAGGATGTGGAAAAAGAATAGGCCGAGCCGTTCGAGTTCTTGAAGTTTATGGGACTAGGATAGAAGGCATGACCTTGTTGTTGTTGTTTTGTCATATCCGTTAGCTTTAAGAGGCCACCGGAGGTGATAACAGCTACGCTGTCCAGGTTCATGTTTGCCAACCAGAATCCATTGTATTTGAACCCAAGATCTTCAGATGTTACACAGCGAAGTAGACAATACATCACAAGTAATGCAATCTTGAAAGCCATAGCATCTCGTCACCCAAGACTTGGCATTAGTGCTAATATGCACCTATGCTCTAACACTCAAGAAATATTTGGTGGACGACATTGAACATGATTGTGAATAAAAACATTTAAATTCACGTATTGATGGACAATATTGAACACAGTCAAAAAGAAAAACGAAAAAGAATTTTCCATGTGTACTTCTTGCATCTTGACCCACAAAATGTTACAATTATTAACTGAAAAAATTCTTGCAAAAATTCTTGCAAAATCATGACAAGTTGAAAGGGAATAGTAGCCATTAGACAAAACAAGGAGTCAAAGGATGGAAAATGCATTGAGCCTAACCCCTTGGAGCAGTCCATTCGAGTCCATCAGCTAGGAATTTTTGACAAAAGTAATAAAAATGAGATAAATTTGGTTAAAATTCGGGACCTCAAATTTTGATGACGACCAAGTAAAGCAAGGTTATTGAATCATTTTAAGAGTCACATAATCATGTTTTGCCCGCAACATCGATATGACGTTAAAGACCGAATCGAACGTGATATTGGTGGATTACTTAGACCTTAGGCTTAGCTCAGTCAACTAAGCCAGCAGGAGCCTGGTCAAGAAAAATGTGTCGGTTTATCTGAGCGACATGCCGTAGGTGGTTTTATGACTTTGATGGAACAGGTTGATCCAAGGCTTGGTCTTTGAAAGACAATGCACAAAAATTAGGTATAACAATTAATTGAGAATTATTTGAATAATATGGAATTGGATATTGATGCTACCAAAAATCTGAACCTGTTAGATCTCGATCTGGATGTTCGAATACCACACGAACTGATCTCCAATACCTGAAACAAATGCATCGAGGTGTGTCCTCGTCGCCCCTCCAATACTTAAACTGGAAAGAGAATTTATGCTAAAGGTTATATTTTGTAAATTATGTAAAAGCGTACCTGAATAATGAACTTGATCCTGTATTATAGATGTCGGTGATGGAGTTCTAAGAGGATCCAATCACCTTAGTCCTTATCCTTATCATATAAGGTGTTTGTGTTATATTGAAAGTGTTGTGTTTGAGTTTTAATCAAACTTGTGGGTAGGTTTGCAACTTGGATTTGGATAAAAGTTATGGAGAGTCACAATCAGAGTTGGATTAATATTTCTAAAAGGTAATAGATAAGGACAATTTAACCGTTATTGCGGAGAATGACCACGACCTTTAAGGCCTGACCTAAACTTTAGGCTCGACCTCTTGCATGGATATTTTAGCGAAGGTGAGATCGAGCTTCTTAGCTAGAGTTCAGGGGACATACCCATTTTTTCTCATATCATAGACTCCTGTGCATTCAGATCATAGCTAATGGTTATGTAATCGAGGTGAGATGTATGAAGGTCGAGAAGCTTAAGGTCGAACTCCATTGTTGATTGTCGATAACAGTTGGGTGTTTGACATGTGTTGGACGTGTGTAAGGCAGGAAGCAGACAATCTTGAATGATCGCCTCGTGGCATGAATCCAAGGGTCAAGATTGCACGACCTTTAACCTCCCTAAAACCCTATAAATACCCTATTTTCACTCCTTATTTTTCACTTTTTCATTCTAAACTCCCAGTAAAAGAAGTTTTAGTTCGAGGGAAGTGGGTTTTGTGAGCGACCACCTTAAGAGATAAGTGTTCGAGCTTTTAAGTTATTTATTTTACATAAGTAGTATAATGTCGAGTGGTAGGAGTAAAGGGTCGAGTGATAGTAGTAGTCGTTCCTCTAGGAGCTCGACCACTAGTTGCCCCGAGGGCATAGGAACGTCCCTTGTTCCAATGGTCATACTTGTGTACTTTGCCATTGTGAGATATTCAAGTCGGGTCATAAAGGTCAAGATCAGTTGTGTGCTTGTGCACGTCCTTACACAAGGTAGATGTATTAGCTGCATGCGCGGGGCACGACGTAGGCCTGAAAAATAAAACAATCTGAGGGTATGCAAGCCCGAGCTAAACTAAGAAAAAATAAACTATTGAGGGCATATAAGAGTAACCTAACACGAATTGAATAAAAACTAAGTAATCTAAATACCTGGGGGCATGGCCAACTACTTGTAATAAATCTTGAGGTTGTTGGCATTCCAAGGCCTTGGGAGTGGCTTTTCTGAGGTGTCCTTGAGGCTGATGCTTTGCCTTTTACTTTTCGTATGACTTGAAAGGTCCTTCCCAAACCGGTTCGAGCTTTCCTAGAGGATAGCCAGCTGCTTATGCCCTTCTGAGGACTAAATCTCCAACTCTGAATTTTCTGAATTTTACCTTGTTGTTGGAGTGCCTTCCTATTATGTTTTGATAACTTGCAGCTCTTAGCGACGCGTGTTCTCGCACTTCTTAAAGTAGGGCAGATGTTCAGCCGTTTGCCTTTTGGAATCAGGCTTGAGCCTTCTCAACGTAGGAAGGCTGACTTCAATTGGAATTATGGCTTTGACGCCGAAAGATAACATAAAAGAAGTCTCGCCATTTGCTGTCTTATGGGAAAACCTATATGTCCAAAGTATGGAGTGCAGCTTGATAAGTGTAGTTTCTACACTTATTCAAGGCCCTAAATCATAATTTTATTGTCTTTTGGATGAAATTCTACTTAATTCATGTTATATTATATTTTGTAGGTAAAACTTTATGTTTAGTGAAGAATTGGAGAAAAGAATGCAAAAGTGATGAAAAATGGCAAAATCCAAAGATGAAATATTGGAGAGAAATATAAAGGACGGAAGAAAAACGGGCGGCACTAGGAGTTCTTGGGAGGAAAGAAAAAGAAATATACATACACACAGACGACAACACGTAAGAAAAGAAAAAGCTGCCAGAAGAAAGAGAGAGAAAAGAAAAGAAAAAGTCATCAGAGAAGAAAACGGCACAGAGAGAAAAGAGAAAGAAGGAAAAAAGAAAAGAAAATGAAAGGAGACTGCAAACACAAGAAATTTTCACGTTTCGTCAATTTTTGGTGATATCTTTTCACTTTTGCATGTTTTTATTTTTACAATATGAATAACTAATTTTTATATTAGGAAAACAATTTAGTCGACTTGTGATTTTTTATTTTTTTATTCAAGATTTCTGTGATTTATTTATGTGTTGATTTTATTGTGAGTTTAATGCATTAAATTACTTGATCTATAATTTGATGATTATGTGAGTCTCTTACAATTCGAGAGGTGAGTTTGAGATTTAGATCATTTAATAAAATTCGATAAAACGTGTAGAGATACATATACTAATTATTGCGGTCATAATATGAATTTTTAGAACTAGTGTTTCGTTTAATTAAAGTTGATTCACATAGAAATATGAAATTTAATTAGTTAAATAGGCTCAATGAGAACTTGAGAGGGATAAATTGAATACAATAGAAGAATTCGATCGAACGCTAGATTATAATATGAATCTTGAAAGAATTAAAGTGATCAATAGATAAAATTGTTATGTCCTAATATTCATCACATA